TGACAAGTAACGTCAATGAGGAAGCTTAACAACCATGTTACTAACTTAAGAACTGCAGCAATTCATTTAACAAGTCTGGCAAGAAAAGTTATTAAATGGGGTAAAATTCACTTAAAACTCACTTAGCAACAAAATTTTTGGGCTCAATTATAGTCATAAATCGAGGACTACTTGTAATGTACTTGTTTTGAAAAATGAACCAAACGCTTACAATGAAAGTGGAGCATATAACATTTATTTTGGCTTTTTGTTCACGAAGCCAGAGTATCACTAATACAAAACAGAGGAGAACCAGACAGATATTTTCAACTTCTGATATTGTCCAGCTTGCCAGAAACTCCAACTATGATGCCCTTGTAGCACGGTAGACTGGGTAACTATTTATATAGCTCCACTATAATATTTACTACTATTTCTATTTCCATCTGTCTAAGTTAATTGCAGCATAATTTGGTGCTTTATTCAAACTTGATTTAGAGTCTGAATCTCTAACATGAATGAGATAGAAATACATCTCTGATTACCACTACCAGTGACAATTTTTCAGAATTTAGCTTCGCTTAACCAAGCTGCAAGCTGATTCACTGCTGATTGATCATGCTCATTACATTTCTCCTGAAATGAAACATGGTAGTGTAATGCCTAAACCAAGAACTCTTGCTTTCTTCCCCTAACCAACCAGAGCTGGAAAGCAAAAACAAATCATTGCTATCATCAATTCTTGACTTGTGAAGCCGGGAACAACCACAATTATTAGTGCAGTCATCTTGCTAAACAATTCATAGAAGGAATTTCCAAGGTTTCTTTTTAATCGCTTTGTTTTGGCTGCATTGCAGTCAGAATAATGGAGCAGTGGTATACCAGCACATGGTTAAATTTTGCTCCAGAACTCTGGTTCAGTATGACAATGGAATGTGTTTAGTCTATCTACACAAATCTGAAAAATAAAAGTTTATCAGGCTACTTGTCCATCTAACTGATGTCCTTTCCAACATGCAGGGCTTTTTAGGCAGAAATATTTCTAGAATTAGTACAGGAAATCCTTCAGTTGAAAAATTGAAGAATTGAATATACCACCCTCAAATGCAAAGCATGTAATCAGTTCTGAGCTCTCCTTGTTCATGGGATGATAAGGTAAAACAAAAACTTACCTCAACTCATATAAATATACAACAACTTTTGTTTCTGTTCCTAATGTTTCTCTGAGAAATATATTCTATATGCCTATCTTTCCCAATAATTACAAATTCCGGGAATTTGTATTTCATTCCAGGAATAAGAACTCTGCCAGACAATTTCTCCTTTGCAATGTCTTTGTTAGTTTATAGTATTTGTTTTTAACAAACAATCTTATTATAACAAATATTGAAAATTCCTCTACAACTTTCTTGATATAATGATTTTCACATTGTTTGCTGAAACACATGTATGCTTGCAAAATCTTATTTACTCAAAATACACATATGCATATGTTGTAGTAAAAATACTTTACTAGCTGGACAGGTATCTCTCACACATAACTAATACAGCAATATCTTTCAGATGATTTGGTCTTATATAGATGTTAAACATTGTATTTTTTAATGCAGCTCTGTAATCTTCCATATTTATAGTTGGATTCAAGATATATGCCTGAATCAATGGCCTGATTCAAACATTTTGGTAAGCTACATAATTTACTTTCTTCTAAGGCTGTAGTCTGAACAGGCCTGTATAAACTCTTATGCACAAACTATATTACTGTTAGTTCTAAAACTGTGGCTAAAACAATTAGTTTACCAAGGTACTCTACAATCTCCCTCAAAATGACACAAACCAGTAATACTCAGAAAGGCAACATGAACCTTTGAACCCAAGATTCTATGATTTCTTTAAGATACTTTGCTTATAAGTTGTTGATTGGTTGCAATGCAACTATTTGCTATTTCCTATGAAACCATTATTTTTGGTCTTTTTTTAAAAAAAAATGAGTAAAATAACTGCACATTTCACAATTTTCATTTTAGCAATTAAATGATTATAGTCATGTACTTAAATGACCACTTCTGTTCAGATGGAGGAAGTGGTGGTTGAGCTCCTGAAGGAAGAAACTGAATTTGACAGTTTTATAAGAATTGCTTCCATATGAGCTGATATGTAACACATGAGTTTTCCATTTTACATATTCGCTCTACTAAATATTGACACTTAGAGAAAATTGTGTCACAAAACATATTTTAAACTTTTTAGTATTTTCTATAAATACAAGTCTCTATCAGATAGTAATCACAAAAAATCCCAGTAACCAACTAAGCTACCCAGTTATCTAAGCAGCATGTAGTTGTCAAACAAAATCACTGTCTATTGAAAAGCACAATGATAGAAACCCTTAATTATCTCTATTGTCATGATGAGGCTCAACCATACAAGTGATATGTTTATCTCCAGTAACAAATTTAAGTGCAATCTCTTCCTCATCATGGTTTACAAAAGAGACAAGCACTCTGTGTGCATTGAACCTTACATTCTTCCACCTGAATTAATGCCTATGATTTAGGGAACCCAGTATAGCTACATTTTCTAAACTAGTATCAGATAGCTTTAGTGATACACTGAAGATCAGCTTCACTGAATTTCAGCAAAATCTTCAGACAGGTAATGTGGATCAAGGATGACACAGATTTTAGGTACCACATCAGGATGATACCTTTGGTCATGAGTTTCCAAGAGGGCCAGATTTTTTTAAAATCATTGCTCTTGCTCACTAAACCTTTTTTGCCTATGCTGCTGTCAGCTCGGAAGAGCAACTCGGCCTGCAGCGATAGGCCCATTTTCCCAGGCCTATAGAAGGCGCTGTGTAGCAACTCCTATCTGTGCATCTGGGGCCCCTCCCCCCCTCTGCAGCAGCCTTACCCAATGTGGAGAATGCGCCCCCTACTGACTCGCTACACTCATTTCTTCATTCCACCGTCTTGGCTGCGGTGCATTTTGGGTGGGGGCTGGTATTTTTTTGCCTTCGATGGTCATAAACCCAAGCAACCGCAGCTTTAACGTGAAGCCACACGCTCATTAGGTATATGCCTATGCAAAACTGAACTGAGCTGCAGGAAAAAAACAAAAACAAAAAGACAACACAACAGATATACAAAGCCATAACTAAGAATAGACAAGACATCCTAGGAGGAAAAGACCTTTTTTTCCTGCGATAGAAGGAGAAGCAATCCTCTCCACCCCCCCACCCCCTCTTCTTTGTTTGAAAAATAGGTTAAATACAACTATTTGCCCGGAATGGATGCAGCAAAGAGTTGCAGAGGTGTAGAAGGGTGCCTGTTTCTCTCGGAGACCTGGATACTCTGACTGAGTCACGAATCCCGCCTTTTCCAACACCACCCGATACCTCTAAGCTATGGAAAGGGGGGGGGGGAGGTGGCGTACAGGAGGCGGCTGCTCTCCATTGATTGCACCGCAGCCTGTTCCACATTTCCACCGCCAACTCTGCAGTCATAACGGGGCTTTCCTCCCTCGCTGACACCCTCCCTTCCCCCCCACTCCCGCCGCACATGCTGGGAGAGGAAGGGAAAAAAAGGGGAGCCTCAAGCATGTCGAAGAGGATGGCAGCATTCGCAATCCGCCCCCCCCCCACCATCTCCCGCCCGGCCACCACCACCACCACCTCCAACGATTCCCTCCTTCTTCCACGACGCAGACCGTGCAATCACAGCCACACTCGAGGGCGCAACATCTCTGGGCCACCTCCCTGCAAAAGGAACGGAAGGAGGGAGGAAAAAAAAAAAGAGAGAGAGAGAGATGCAACGGAGGCACAGGCGGCATTGAGCCGGAACGCGGTCAGAGCTGCTTTTTTCTTTTCCTTTTTCTTTAAAAAAAAGGGGGGGCGACCCGGGGTGGGTGGGGGGAGGCTTTGAGGTGAAGGGAAAGGAGGCAAGAAAACCGGCAAGGAGACCGACCGCCTCTGGCGCCGGGAGAGCCGGCCTCGGACGCCAGGAGGGAAGGACGGGAGAGACGCTTTTCTTTTTTAACACCATGTGTGAAGAAGGGTCCGGGAGCAGCCACCGGGCCCGGCAAGGGGAAAGACGGCGGTGGCGGCAACGAGGAGACAGAAGAGCGGAAGGAAGGAAGGAAAAGGGTTGCGCTGGGCTCCCGCGCGCGCTCAGGCACCTACCTAGCTGCGTTTCGCGCTCCCTCCTCCTCCTCCTCCTCAGCGGCGAGCGCTCCCTCCCCCGGCGGCGGCGGCGGCGCTGCTGGCTTGCGGCTCCCGGCTGGAGGCTGTCGGCAGGGCTGGGCGGGCGGGCGCGGGGAGCGGAGCCGGCGGTGCGGGGGAGACAAAGGGGCCTGGATGGCGGGAGGGGGGGGGAGGGTGCGGGGGGGAAGGGGGGGGGGCCGGGCCGGGGCGGGGGCGGGGGGGGGACGCGGCGGCTCCGCGGGGCTGAGGTACCGGGCCGAGGGGTGTCGAGCGCCGGGCCGCGGGGAAGGGGAGGGGGGGCTCCCTAGGCGCCCTGCAGACAATACAGCCGGGTCCCTCCTGCCCAGAACCTGCCCTGGCCAAGATGGCGGCCGAGAAAGAGCGGAAGTGACGCGGGGTCCTCATTAGCATATGGGACTCATTGTCCGGCCGGAGAGGAGGGGGACGAGCCCCCCGGGGTGAAGGGGAAAAAAGGGGTGACTGAACCCCAAGAATGGAACTTGGTTTCCCGTCATCCCTCCTCCTCTTATCCTGTCCTGACAGGAAGCGGGATCTTTAAAAAAGAAGAGAGAGAGAGATGGAGGGGAACGGGTTACATAACCCTGTCGGAATGGGGGGATTCTCGCGAGAAGGGGAACCGGCGGCGGGATCTACTCCGGCTCCGCTAGGAGGCGCCGCGCCCTGCGGCTGGGGCCGGAGAGAAGAGCGCGGAGCGGTTATCCCTCCGCCGCCCCAGCCGGGACTACAACTTTCCCTGAGGGGAGGAGAAGGGGTCACTGGGGAAGGGGGAACTGAAGGGAGGGGGGAGAGAGAATGAGTCTTCTCCACGTGACCCGGCATGGAGCACACCACGTGACCCAAGCTTCACCTGAGTGAGCATCATAACACCTCGTGCCGTTAAGCTGATGATCACACGGCTTGCACTCGTGCCTGGAGTGAGTGGCATCTGCAGGGCAGGTCAAGGCAAGCATCCCTGTGCCCCAGCCTTGGCCAGGGGACGTCTCTGGACCTCCAGAAGGGCATTCTTCCATTGGGCATTACCAGTGGGCTTGCCTGGCTTTGGACCCATCTCTGTTGTGCCATGGATGGACCAGTTGCAAGTTTGGAGCCGTGGCGCCCTGAGCAATGTTAAGTCAAGGGAATGCAAAAAAATGTGATTTTTAAGGCAGGGCTGCAGAAACGCCTTGAGCGCTCCACTGTGTTGTGCTTAGGATGTGAAAGTAGGTAACTGCTGGAGCCCAACGGTCCTTACATATGTCCATCAAACGGAATTGGAGACTTTTTTTAACGGTGGCTTTCCATTCCATTTAGTGATCCCTCAAGAGGGCTGGATTACAGATTTTACAAGCCCTGAAAAATGCTCAGAGGCAGGAGCCTACTCCAATATGCATTTAATTAGTGTAATAAAATGTTTAATAGTTAAAGCTGAGTAGAATTAACTTAGCGTATTTCTTGTCTCACTTTTTAATCATCTGAGCTTGGAAGGAAGCTGAAACTTTCTCCAGTTTTTAAGCAATCGGGTCACAGGCCCTGAACACTGCTAGTTGTGACCAATGGATAATGCAGGTAGGACTTCCAGAAGTGTTAAGTGTCAATACCCATACTTTCCAATTAGGATGGACAACTCAAGTTGTGAAAGTTATAGTTCATCCTATCTGGATGGTATCAAGTCGGAGGAAAATTTCCACAGTGGAATTTTTTGCTACAAAGTTGAGCTGTCCCAATGGACAATGGTAGAAAGTTCAGCATGACTCTAATATAGTTGGATAAATAATTACTATATGAGTAGTTGTTTGCAGATGCTAATAGATTATGTCTTTATCTATTACAAACTAGCAACCATATACAAGTAGTCATCGATTTAAGACCACAATAGAGCCCAAATTTCTGTTGCTAAATCAGACAGTTAAGTGAGTTTTGCCTCATTTTATGACCTTTTCTGCCACAGTTGTTAAGTGAACCACTGCAGTTGTTAAATTAGTGACAAGGTTGTTAAGTGAATCTGGCTTCCCCATTAACTTTGTTTGTCAGAAGATCACAAAAGTTATCATATGGCCCCAGGACACTGCAACTCTCATAAATATGAACTCCAAATTTTGATCATGTGACCAGTAGTAAGTGTGAAAAACTTATAAGTTACTTTTTTCAGTGCCATTGTAAATTCAAACGGTCACTAAACGAATAGTTATAAGTTGGGGGCTATCTGTATAGCAATGGCATAGTCTGGTCATCGGGTCTTATAACTAACTAAACATGTGACTTCACTGTATGCAAATATCCTGAAGCACACACAAAATGCAAATCAAACTAGAATTGCTAAAATACATGTATCTGGCCACAGCATTAGAGTAGAGCCAACTGCAGAAGTTTTCATTCTGTTTATCAGCATTATAATAATCAGGTTTAGTTTTGTATCCGTCTACCTACATATCTGAAAATAAATTTATAAATACTTCATCTCATCCCAACAAAATATCATATTCTAGTTAGGAATATTAAGAACCACATATGCAATGAAAGCCATGTACACGTAGTCTTCGATTCACAACAATTTGTTTAATAATCATTCAGCGTTATGATGGCACTGAAAAAAATGACTTATGACCATTTTTCACACGACCATTGCAGCATCCCCATAGTCATGTAATCAAAATTCAGATGCTTGGCAACTGCCATGTATTTATGATGGTTGTGAGGTCTCAGGGTCATGTGGTCACTTTTTGTGACTTTCTGACAAGCAAAGTGAATGGGGAAGCCATAATCCTAATTTAAAAACTGCAGTGATTTACTTAACAACTGTGGCAAGAAAGGGCATAAAATGGGGCAAAACTCACTTAACTGTCTTGCTTAGCAGTAGAAATTTTGGGTTCGGTTGTGGTTGTAAGTCAAGGACTATCTGTAAAGTTATAAATGTTATTAATGGCTAAGTCCTCTATTCCCTGAATTACACCCAAAGTATGCTTGGCATCCAATAATCCAGGGCATTAGGGCCACGGTTTTAATTTTATTCAGCTTCCTATCTAGTACATTCTTATACAATTCATAATAATTTAGAAAATTTAAAACAGTTGTTTGTGGCAGAGCCAATGGGAAATCATAAATGGCGCCCACTTGACATCATACCTAACACCATCTGGGTTTTGCCTAACAATAATACAGCATGGTCACATGATGTCATGCTTTACAACCATATTACTTAGTGACATGGTTCCCAATCCCAGTTATCGAAGTTTAGTTACTGTAGCATTAAAAGTTAAAACATATTCATTGCCGTGATTTTGGGTAGCCTGGTCTTTACTGATTGGATGAATGAGCTAAAAATATGCAATGGACCTCTATTGAGAGGGCACATTACCCCCTGCAGAAACCTTCACAGCATGGATGCCTCCCTCAACATGAAATATCCTAATAATAATGGATATTTTACTAGTAATAGTAATTTTGAACTAATAATCTAATTATATATTGCATTTCAATTGTTCAGAGAGCTTCATTAATGTTAACTATTCCAAAAGCCCTGAATTTTATGATTGTACAATTATTTAGGATTTTGACATGGAACAATCAGCCTAAAGTCATGTTCGAATTATTAATATGACTTTAGGCTGATTGTTACGTGCCAAGAATGCATCTGTTGTTTTTGGCTATTTCCATAATATTTGGAATCTTTCAAAATATCAAGAAATACAGATTTACTATGCACAGACCATGGCCTGTGGAATTATTGTACAATACTGGAAAGATAAATTGACATTTGATTTGTGGTAATGGATTGTTGATACTCATTGTCAACATTTGAGTGACTTGTTTTTTTCAACAGAGATGAAGAGGATTCTGAAGCAATTTGACCAATGTTTTTGTTCATGTTACATATTTCCAGATATTTTCCCCTATCTTTTCCCCTTACTTTTAATGTTACATGATGTTGTTAATGTTAATTACGTATGTATAATTTGATTGCAAGATTAAAATTATTACATTCAAAAGAACCATTTACGTTACTCCTATCTAATTCCAGCTTTATCTTAGAAAGATGAAATAGCTGACATGCAGAGATACAATGAATGGTCTAAAGCCTCCTGTTGTGTTTGTGGCTGATATTTTAAGTAGAAAACCTGTTGTGTGCACTGCATAAAGTGCAGTGTGAGTATGAATATGTATGACACTATCTTAAAGATCCTAAGCTGCAGATGGCACAAACTCAAGTGACAACAATGTTTAAATGAATCATCACCTTCTGAAGTACAATTTTCATTTTGAATAGACCAGCTGAAAATTCACACAAATTTGAGTATGGTTCAAATACTGTCAAGTATGTATTCCCTTTAATCCGGGATGTTGTAAACGGTAAAATAACAGTAACTTATTCATTTAAAATGTTTCATGGTGCATGTCTTCAGGCAGCATACACTTATTGTCATAAGAAGAGTTATTGATAATATTACTGCTGTTCAACAGAGATACGGGTAGTCCTTGACTTATGACCACAATACAGACCAGAATTTTATCACCCTTTTTGCCATGGTTGTTAAGTGAATCAAACCCAGCTTCCCCCATGGATTTTTCTTGTCAGAAGCTGGCTGGGAAGGTTACACATGATCTGTTGACATTATAAATACATGCGCGTTGCAAAGTGTGTCCAACTTTTGATCATGTGACTCTGAGGATGTTGTGACAGTCGTAAATGCAAGAGCCAGTCCTAATTCATTTTTTTCAGTGGTGGTGTAACTTTGAACAGTTGCTAAACAACTGGTTGCAAGTCTAAGACTACCATTGGCATTGGCATCCTTCAGTCTCAAGAGACTATGCTCTGGAAAGAGGTCCTAAAACAGCATCTAGTGTGACTAAAAAGGCCAGTGCAAAAGTGGCAATCCCTTCCACACTGAGGGCAGATACATTCTGTTCGCTGCCCAGCCCCCAGATTTTGCTGGTTCTGGGACTGCCTCTTTGCCTGCCAAACAAGTATTTCTTCGAATTGGAGAAGGCCATGCTGCGTCTTTAAGCCTCCAAGCTGAATGATCGGAGGTCAAGGTTTCCCAGTTGTTAATGTCCATTCCCAGGGCTTTTAGGTCCTTGCAGATAGCTCTTGCAGATAAGACTACCAATGTACTAAAAAAAATAATCTCTCAGCTATCCTGCTTCCAAGTTGCTTAGAGTTTGTATATTAGAACATTCTGCATTACAAAATTCAAATTATAAACTGGTGCTGTTTCAACAATTTCAATAGACTAGTGGCTAGCCAGAGCATCAAGCTGTGTTTCAAATGGCTTGATCTACCAGTTGTATGTGAAGATGCCCTTCATGGGAACATTTGTTTTTTGTTTGTTTGTTTGTTTGTTTGTTTTAATTTGATTTATATGCCGACCTCCGGAGACTCAGGGCGGCTTACAATGCGTTAAGCAATTTGTGTACTTTAAATAAAAAACAGAGTTTATGCATATGCATTCTCTCTCAGATAGGCAGACAGACAGACATATTTTCTCCAGTGAATGAATGAAAAGAGACTATCTGGATTAGGAGGACTGATATACTTTATGTTCCTCCATTGAAATAAAAGTGCATTCCTTCATATATGCTAACTGCATGGAGCAAATACTTGGATGCCACTGGAGTAGGGTCTGTTTCAAATGTATCAGCTGTGTCCCCTCCATAATCATGTGCAATATAAAACAGACATTGGGAATCGCAAGGTGCAGTATTGAAGATTGTTATTTATTTCATTAATACTTAAATTTATATTAATTTATATCACATGATAAAAACAGTAATTTCAATCATCACATAATAAATACCATGATAAAATCTACCTATCAGTAAAAACCATTTTAAAATTAGATAACCTATAGACTACTTCCCATAAATTACACAGTGCCCGGTGCTCCAAAGCCTAAGGGATGGTCTTAATATTAACAGAGAGAGGCTGTCTGAGGAGTGGTGGTTGTCGGCCCTCACGCATCTCACAACCCAAGAAGGGGGATATCTGTTGCATATTCTTTTGGCTATCTCATACTAGATGTGTGTGTTCTACAAGCCAATGGTTTCAAAAGTAACTAGAACTTGAGTCACAACAGACTTTATAAGGAATAAAGCAACCTGATTTGACCAGCCAATGCGGTTCTTGCAGGAAGAGTGTTCTGATCTGACCCAGAACATGGCTTGAGTAGACAGGTGGAGGGTAAATGTTAAGACACTTTCCAGATCAATCACATTTCAGTGGATTAACAAAAATATGAAAATTTCTAACTATTTCCATCTGCTTGGTCTTGCAATGTACAGAGGCTTTTGCTACATCTCCCCTAAGTTATATAATTAATGTAAATTGCCTGAGAAGATGCTTTGATGAAAATGTTCCAGCTTTGATATGTAAATTTCCCTGGTACAAGTTTGCAAAAGCAAACTTCTCAGATGCAATTTATTGTTCAAAATAAAATTATCGCTGTTTGCATGTGATTTTTTTTTTGTCAGTGTATCCCTCTGTGCACAAGGAAGATTTTTGATTTGGGGAAGGTAAGACAAATGCTAATATATAGGCATACCTCATTTTATTCCGCTTCGCTTTATTGCTCTTTGCAGATATTGCAATTTGTTTACAAGATTGTCCACCAGCAAAACAAAAAAAAACAAAAAAAAAAACTACAATTCACTGAAGGCTCAGAAGATGATTAGCATTTTTTAGCAATAAAATATTTTTAATTAAGGTATGTAGCTTATTTTTTTTCAGGCATGCTATTGCACACTGACAATATAGTATTAACATAAGTTTTATATGCACTAGGAAACAAAAAAAGTGTGTGACTCAGTTTTTGCAATATTCACTTTGTTGTCGTGGTCAGGAACTGAACCCACAACATCTCAAAAGTATGTATTATTTTGTTTGCTACTTCTCTCTTATGCCCCCTGCTGGTATTTCAAAGGGTCTTGAAGAACTGGCTCTTCACCCATGCTTGGCAAAAGTGGTAAAGCCCCCTTGAGTTTATGTGGATGTCTCTTTCATTACTGATTTTTCTCCTTTGGTCGATTTTGCCATCTTTTACTCATTGTAAAGGTAAAGCTTTCCCCTGTCCAGTCATGTCTGACTCTAGGTAAAGGTAAAGGTTCCCCTCACGCATATGTGCTAGTCGTTCCCAACTCTAGGGGGCAGTGGTCATCTCCATTTCAAAGCCGAAGAGCCAGCGCTGTCCGAAGACTTCTTCATGGTCATGTGGACGGCATGACTAAACGTCAAAGGCGCATATAACGCTATTACCTTCTCACCAAAGGTGGTCTCTATTTTTCTACTTGCATTTTTTACATGCTTTCAAACTGCTAGGTTGGCAGAAGCTGGGACAAGTAATGGGAGCTCACCCCATTATGCAGCACTAGGGATTCGAACCGCTGAACTGCCGACCTTTCAATCGACAAGCTCAGGGTCTTAGCCACTGAGCCACCACATCCCCTTTGTCTGATTCTAGGGGGCTCCACTTCTTAGCTGAGAGAGCCAGCATTGTCTGAAGAAAACTTTCCGTGATCCTGAGGCCAGCATGATTTATACGCCAAGGTGCACCGTTACCTTTTCACCAAAGTGGTAGCCATTTTTTTACTTGCATTTCCATGCTTTTGAACTGGTTTTCAGGAGCTGAGACAAGTAAGAGGTGCAGGATACCAAAATTACCTTCAAGAAGTTAATCTGTCAGAGATTGGCTTTTTTGAAGGACACAACTCTTCTTTTGTTCTCGGTAAGATGTAATTCTTTTATTACGATGGGTATCCTCTTCCTCTGCTTTCAAAAAGAATTTCAGAATGTATCTTTTTTAATGTTTTTATTATTAGGTATTCTTTTATTTTCAGATTATGCTATTGTTTTATGTTTTGATGGGTTTTTTGAACAAGTTGTGGAGCAAAATGTTTCCGTTCAAATAGCTCTGAACATCATGGAGGTATTTCAAGCACAAAACAGTGTTTTGAAATGTCCATTTCACAATTGGAACCAGGTCTATTAAATTCAAATTGAGGTATTTTGATTTGATGCCATTTGAATTGAAATACTTTGAAGGGCCCAAGTTTTAACTGGATTGTTTTTTTGTGTGTGGGGTTGTTGTTGTTTTCATTGTATTCTTCTTTAAATTATCTGACTTGAGCACTATGGTGGAAACTTTAAACAGAAATCCAATCTGCTAATTATAATTACAGTCCAATTATTATCTCCATTAGGAGAAACATCACTATTCTCAATGTCTATTGCTAATATAAACAAAGAGGAACATATTGTTACAATCTGGTTCATCTTTCTTAGCGCTTTGGATGTCCTTTCTAGAAACAAATTTCTGCAATAATTAAGACTATTGGTCTGCTGCCTCGTAGCAAGCTGAATATTTTCTTTCTCAATTTGTAGAATTCATGGTTACCATCACTCCCTACGTGGGTTTTTTCTATGCCATTTGATGGCATTTTTAGTGTGTTAGTGTACCCTCCACCCTTCAAAAAATTCTATTTATTTTAATATTGTAATTAATAATTATAAACCATTGTATTGTTAAAATAAGTCCTACATAATTTAAATATGTAACTCAGTGGTGGGGGTCAATTTTTTTTACTACCGGTTCTGTGGGTGTGGCTTGGTGGGCATGGCATGGCTTGGTGGGGGTGGCTTGGTGGGCATGGCAGGGGAAGGATACTGTAAAATCTCCATTCCCACCCCACTCCAGGAGAAGGATATTGCAAAATCTCCATTCCCACCCCACTCCAGGGGAAGGATACTGCAAAATCCCCATTTCCTCACAATCAGCTGGGACTCGGGAGGTAGAGAATAGATGGAGGTGGGGCCAGTCAGAGGTGGTATTTATTGGTTCTCTGAACTACTCAGAATTTCCGCTACCAGTTCTCCAGAACTGGTTAGAACCTGCTGAAACCCACCTCTGATGTAACTACTATAAATTATATCATGTTGATCTCAAAGGTCTTTTGGAGCAATACATTACTCAAAGATAACATGAGAATATGGTACTTCTGG